AAGGAAGGAAGGAAGGAAGGAAGGAAGGAAGGAAGGAAGGAAGGAAGGAAGGAAGGAAGGAAGGAAGGAAGGAAGGAAGGAAGGAAGAAGGCAGGCAGGCAGGCTAGCTGGGAAGGTGGCTCAGTGGTAGAATGCTTGCCTTGCATGCATAAGGCCCTGGGTTCCATTCCTCAGTACCACATAAGCAGAAAAAGCCAGAAGTGGTGCTGTGGCTCAAGTGGTAGAGTGCTAACCTTGAGTTGAAGGGCTGAGGGACAGTGCCAATGCTCAGAGTTCAGGCACCAAAACCGGCAAAAAAAAAAAAAAAAAAAAGAAAAGAAAAAAAGAAAGAGAGAGATCCTGTGAAGCAAAGTTAATCTATTTATCTAGTCATAAAAATTTGAGACTGATAGTATTTAAATCATTCCAGGTCATTTTCTTCCCCAAAGACCTTTGGACAAACTATGATACCCAAGCTGTTCTTGGTGTTATAGTTTATCTAGCTGTTTTGTGTTATAAAAGCATTCTAACCACATGAACCAATAAACAAGACACTAAATCTAAAACAAAATCATCCATTCTTCAACTGCCTTAACTGCCAATATTTTGATGTGTTTTTTTCCCCAGGTTTAAAGAATGTTTTTAAAATCTAGTCATTATAGAGTAAAAAAAAAAAAAAGGAAGAAACACAATTTGTTTGATTTTTTTTTCATGTGATAAGCATTTTTCTGTGTCACCCATCAGTCCCCCTGATGGGAGGATTGGATAAGCAGCCAGTTTTCTGAAGAGTAAAAGAAAAGTGTTGGAAAGGAATGTCTTTGCTGTTCTGATACACCTCTGGAAGCCAACTCCAACCAGCCCTCTCCTTGCTCTTTGTTTCCTTTCATCACTGTTGGCAAGGAAAATGTAGCTTATATATCATAATTATTTAATTTTATAATATATTTGTATATAATTTTACAATTATAAAATGAACCTATATAATATTAAGGAATAAAGAATTATAAAGGGGAATTTTATAAATACAATTATATATATAACATATATATAAGTGTATATAATTTTACATATAAATATGTAAATATAAACCTGGATGTGTCTCTTCTCTGCTTGCAGATCTTGTTGCTGAAAATAGCCAGCAAGACTCAGGGATAGATTTGCATCCTGGGAAACTTCAGGGTAAACTGGGAGAGTTGGTTCCAACCAGAGGGGAAGGCAGGTGAATGCATGTACAGCAGTCACAATCATCACTGAAAGGGGCTGAAGGGCTAGAACTTGTCTGACTCTCAGGGTGTGGGTAACCACCCTCTCTTGGCTCCTCATAAGACCTGCATCCTGGCATGTATAACCCTCTCATTCAGCCTAGAGGTCTCCAACTGCTATATTTCCTTCGAGACCTTGTGGGAGTAGATGTGGTGTTTTTATATTAGATGCTGTCTGTCTTAAATGACAGCTCTGAAATCACTGCTTGATCTCTGTAGTAGTCCATGCACTCAAACAAACAGAACCAATACGACCAATATTACAATTATAAAATGAACATATAGATATAGTATTTTATATATAATTATAAAGGATAAATAATTATAAATGGGGATTTTATAAATATAAAAATGGATCCATTCAGTTGGCTTAGCCAGTCGAGGCTGGATAGTCCCAGAGAACTGGGAAAACTATTCTAAGAAGCTGGGAGCCTCAGAACAAGGGGCACCAATGATATAATCCTTGTTGGGGACTGATGGCCTGGAAGCCCTCTGGATAAAGAATCCGTAGTCTGATGTTCACGTATGATGGACAACAACACAAACGACAGGAAGGCTGGAACCTGCCAGTTCAGGAGAGTCCCTTTACTCCCATCTTTAGCTGCACCTAAATGCTAATGGGCAGTGCCACTCCTGGTCAGGATCAGTCTTCCTACTCAGTTCGTAGACCCACAAGCCCATTATCTCTAGAAACAACTTCATAAATGCAATCAGAAGTGTACTTTCCTACTCTTTGCTTCCAGTTAAGTTGACAACCAAGATTCTCATCACAGTTATTAATCTGCTTTCTTCTTCATGACATTTGATTTGTGTGGCCTTTACAAGTTAAAAATGTTAGTCATCCTTGACACTGGGATTGGTGGCATGTATCTGTAATCCTAGCCATGAGGAAACAGAGTCAGGAGGATTCTGCTCTAGGGCCAGCCGTTTGAGACTCTACCTAAAACAGACTAAGTGGTAGATTGCCTGCCTAGTAAATTCAAGGCCCTAAATTCAAACAGCATCACAAAAACACAGAAGTTTACTTTTCAAAGGAAAGTTTCTTATTTGTCCCTAGCCCCACCCCTCCTTTCTACCAAGTAGGCTTTATACTTACCATGATCACGTAGGACCTTTCTCCAGACTTTTTCAGTTCCCTTTTCCATGGAGCTGATGATCTTTTCTTTGATGAATTTTAACAACAAGGAAAACAGCTCAGGAATAGGTTTTGTTTCAATCAGGTTCAACGAACATGAAATATAACACTACACATAAAAGCTTGTGTTGACTATGACCTATGACTTTTGCTATTGTCTCTTAAAAAATGAAAACAAACTCATTGATTTTGAAATATTACAATATTAAAGGTAGTTCCAGGGGACCTTTTGGAGAGATTATACAAGTTTTATATAGTGGCCATAGAGAGCAAAAATGAATACTCTCATGAGTTTGCTAATAAGCATCTTTCATTGAATTCTAGAAGAATTACTTTATCTGTGATTATCATTGTTAATCAGCCATAATCCAGTCTTCCTAGAATGGCGAAGTACTTAAGCTGTTTTCCCTGGTTCCCATCAAATGTAATTGTTTCCATATTATTGGCCAAAATAGCTGTAGGTGTTTTGCATAGGCCATATGTACTCAAGGTCTTTGAGGGCCTTTTTTGTATAAACAATGCAAATATTTTATTGTGTAGCTGAGTTGGATCTATTTGAAGAGGTTTTAAACCTAGGAAGCTTTTCCCTTTATGATTTTGCACAGGAGAAGGGGGGTGGATGGTGGCTGAGCAACATGAAAGGCTCTGCAGTGGAGGCCCAGGCTCTTTCATCTTGGTCTGAATCCTGTTCCACCACTGCCTCAGGATTTCAAGTGTGTAAAAGTCCCAGAGTTTCTTAATTATGTTTAAGGAGGCAGCAGCATGAAGGCAGAGGTGGAATCACATGCAGGGAAACATCTGATATTCAATGTGAAGATCTCCACTTGGGCCAAACTGGATGTGTCTCCAAATAGACCAGATGTTGCATAAGGTGGAGGAAAATCTTTGTTTGATAAAGTGACAAGACTATGATCATTAAGATCATGTTTGTGTAACATATAATAATGCAACATAATTTTTTATGAAAATAGTATAAGCATAATAAACAAAGGAGTCTATGACTCAGATGTCCATCGTAAGTGAATCAACCTTGTTTTATCAGATTTATCATCCCATGTAGGAGATTCACACCCCTATGTTACAAGATAATTGTGGTATAGCTTATTTGAATTTCAGCATTCATACTTGCCAGTATGTGATGGTAACTTCCCTCATCTTATGGTTCAATTAAATATTGTAAATGGTTCTACAATAAAATTCCTGCATTGTGGTGAGTTAGCCCACCAAATGTAGGTCTCTTAGTTGATATCTGAGTTCTTGGTTATGAGGCTCAACAAATTGTATTGTATAAATTTTACTTATGTATTCAGATTTATTTTCATAGACTGTGCTCCACAATTTGGGATTTCTGGGACAATCTAAATGTTTTTAAAACTTTGACCCAATTTGAAAATTGAGGAAGAAAGAGAACAGTTACCTCACTTCAACATTCCTCACTTGTGATATCCATCATTTTAGCAGGAAAGATTGCATTCTAGAAAGAAGGATGTTTCTCATTGTTCACAAGTAGCAACCCTATTTAAGAAAAGGAAGTCTTGGGAGCAGTATGGCAGGCATAACTGCCTCCAACAAGTCCCAGACTTGCGACATCTGAGTATCTTTCTGGCACAAAAAAGTTATAATTGTTGCAGAACTCAGTGTAGTGTGACAGAGCAATATGGATTAGTAACACCTGAGTGAAAACTGAATTTGCCAGCTTCTGTAGTGCCTGCATACAAAGATAATGAAATGCAAGTGCTATAACATCCTACAGTATAGTTTTAGTTTTTCCAAATTATATCCACAGTCCTCTGAGTAAGACAACCAAGAGATTATCTATCTATCTATCTATCTATCTATCTATCTATTGATATAGAAAAAGAAAGATTATATGTGACATATATCATATACATCATATATATGATTATGTGTATACATAATATGCATGTACATAATATATGTGATATTATATGAATATATAGATATATTCACATAATCTTATAAAAGCCTAAACTTTTTTTTTCGTCGGTTGTGGGGCCTGAACTCTGGGCCTGGGCACTGTCCCTCAGCTCTTCAGCTCAATACTAGTGCTATGCCACTTGAGCCACAGTGCTACTTCTGGCTTTTTTCTGTGTATGGGTGCTGATGAATTGAACCCAGGGCCTCATTCATGCAAGGCAAGCACTCTACCACTGAGCCACCTTCCCAGCCCCAAAGCCTACACTTTTTAATTATATGTAAGTCTTTTAAGAATACTGCATCATGACAGCAGAGAAACATGCAGTAAGATATTCAATGTCCAGTTTGAAGATTCAAATAAATGGTCTTCATGTAGGCCAATCAGACCCTCCAAAAGAGTGAAAGTTTGGATGGAGTTGAAGAATACCTCTCTGTTGTTTATTTACAATCAAGAAAGACCTTTCTTGTAGATTACTAGGGAAATTAAACTTTTGTAAAAATGCATTAGTTGAGACAGAGGCTGGAATTATTTCAAGTTGTTCTGGTAGGTGGTATGTGGAAGGAAATTACCTTTTGGTCTGAGGTGGCATCTTGGAGCATTGAATCAGAGAAGTCTAGTGCCTTCTCTCTCATTTCCATATGTAAGATTTTTTTTCTTGCTTCAGCTTCTAAATGTTTTGTTTCAGGTTCTGATATACAATGGACAACTGGACATCATAGTAGGGGCCTCCCTCACAGAACGCTCCCTGATGGCCATGAACTGGAAAGGATCCAAGAAATACAATAATGTAGAAAGAAAAGTTTGGAAGATCTTTCAATCGGATAATGAAGTGGCTGGATACGTTCGTGAAGTGGATGACTTTTATCAGGTATGCAAGGTCCTGGAGATGTGATAGACAAACTAAAAATAAAGCCTAGGTAAAGTTAAGTCATATACCATCTATCTATGTGTCCCTACAGCTCTACTTGCAGCAAAGAAGAATGGTCTGAAGGGCTGGGAAGGTGGCTCAGTTCTAGAGTGTTTGCTTTGTATACATGAGGCCCTAATTCGATTCCTCAACACCACATAAGCAGAAAAAAAGCCAGAAGGGTGCTGTGGCTTAAGTGGCAGAGCGCTAGCCTTGAGCTGAAGAGCTGAGGGACAGTGCCCAGGCCCAGAGTTCAGGTCCCAGGACCGACAAAAAGAAATAAATTAAATAAAAGAATGGTCTGAGGTATTGAAATCCAGAGGCCTTGATGCCAAAGCAAACAGTTTAGGCATTGTTCAAGAACTATGAAGACAATGACAAAAGCAATCGTTAGCCAAATGTGGCAAATCATTCATGAGAAAATTCTGCCCTATTGGGAACCAATAGGGTATTGACAAATTACTAGAGGAAAATGTAATCTCTGGCAAATCCTTGGCCATATTTATGTGACTATAAGTGTCCTAGGACAGAATCACTTTCTCTGATACCCCTACACTTAACTCCACTCAGAATACACATTATTCGTGTAATTTTCCTTTCCAGTAATATCATTTTAAAGTTTTGGAATCAGGGATATGCTTGCTTATTAAGCAATCTGAGAAATGCCCATTCTTTCTAGTCTTCTTTTAGAAGTGTTAGAAGACTTAATTAGGGAAGTCATCTAGGCTTGAAGAGTTTGTGAAGGAAAATTTTGAATTACAGATTCAGTTTCTGCAATAGGTAAAAGGAGATAAAAGGAGATTAATGAACAGGTTCTGGAGACTTACTCCTGTCATCCTAGCTATTCAGGAGGGTGAGATCTGCCAGCCTGGGCAGGGAAGTCAATGAGACTTATCTGCAATTAACAAGCAAAAAGACAGAAGTAGGGCTATGGGTCTCATGACAGAGTGCCAGCCTTGAGTAAAAAAGCGCTAAGGAATAGCACCCAGGCCCTAAATTCAAGCCGCACTAACCAGCACAAAGAAAAAAAACATAAGAGAGATTAATTTCCTTTTCTGTTTCTTCTTATATCAGTTTTGGTAGGCTGTATTATTTTTTGGAATTTAAATCATCTAATTTTTAAATTCATGGGTATAAAGGTACTTTGTAGCATCATCTTTCCATCACTTAATTTCTATTAAGATCATTAGTAACTTTAGTAATTTGTGACGTTAGTAATTTGTTCCTCTCTTGTTCAACATATAAAGGTATTACATTTTTAAAGAACTCTTCCTTTGTTAATTATCTCCATTGTATACTTTGCTATCTTGTTTTTATCAATTTGTACTTATTCTATTATCTCCTTTTGATTATTTTCCTTCTGTGTGATATAATATTCTTTTTAAAAGGACTCTTAAGATGGGCACTTAGAATATGAATTTTTAGCCTATCTTAATTTCTAACATTTGCATTCTCTATAATGTATTTGTTATGGCTGGCATGACATGTGTCCTAAAACCTGTCATTGCTTTATTATGATTTAGTTTAAAGCATTCATAATTTCCATTTTCACTCCCATTTTAAAGTGTAAAGTGTATTGCTTAATCTCAAATCAATTTTGTTCTTCTATTAATACATTTGTTTGGAACACGTGGAAACACTCTATTAGAGTGTTGCAGTTGAAAAAAAATCTTTTTAGTTTCAACCACCTGAAATTTGTTGAAATTTATTTTATGTAAATGCTATTTTTATATATTATAGTGAATATATATATACTGTATTTATTGGTTATAATGCTTTATACATCAATTAAGACAGATTTAAAGAGCTTTTTTTTTTTTTTTTTGATTTTTTAGGTGTTCTGTTTTTCTTTTTTTTTTTTTTTAATTAAATTTAATTTTATTTGTGAACATACTGTACAGAGGGGTTACAATTACATGGGCAGGATAATGCGTACATTTCTTACCAAGCATTGCAGCCTCCTCCTTTGTTTACCCTTCACCTCCCTTCCCAGCCTCCCCCCTCCCCCCCATCCCAATCCTTCTCCTTCCCCCCCTTCCCCCCCTCCCCCCCCCCCCCGCTCCCCCCGCACTGACATTGTAAAGCTCGTTTTGGACATGACAACTTGTACTTCTCATTGTTGCAACAGGTCCACCTGTATCCTTAAACAACTGGTTTTTCCCCATCTCCTCCACAAGTTATACTGACAGCAAATATAGTGAAAGCAGGGGTTATACTGTGGGGGAGGGACATACAAAGCAACAAAGAGATAATCTTATAAATGCGTTAGAAACACATGCATGAAAGAAAAAAACATTAAAATAAAGAGCTTTATTTTTAAATTGTTTATGACCTTTCTTTTCTCTTTTTCTGCTTTTCCTAGTAGTTAAAAAAAGAGGTCTGATAAAACCACAATACTTGAAGAATTTTCTATTTTTTTTACTTCATTAAAAAAAATGAACCCTCTTAACTGCATACAACTACATACATGTTATATTCATAGTATTGTCATTTTAATTTTTCCTATCATGAAGTCTACCTCATTGATAGAAATGTAACTGTAGAAAAAAAGTGTAACTTCTCATTTGAAATTATATATGTGATACAGTTTCTCAACTTTTTCTTTTTAATCTTTTTAATACTTAATATTTATCTTTTTAAAAGTGTGTGCATATAATATTTTTAATGGATCATGACAATATTTCAGAATGGAGTAGTTTATATTTAATATAATTACTGATTATTTTAAAATCTACTATTTTAGTATGTGTTTTCTATTTTCTCCATGTGTTCTTTTGCATGACTCATAATTTTATCATTTCATATTTTTCATCTACAGGCTTGTTAGCTATAGGTTCTTTTAATCTTGTTTAAGAAAAATACCGATGCACAATGCAAATTCTAGACTTGCTTAATCCACATATAAGTGAGAATTTTACTGCTTTCCAGACAAAGGTATAAACCATGAAACATTTTATCTTCCTTACCTATTCTACTGCTTTCTGTATGACTAAAAAAAATTGACATCTAAGTTCAATACAGTAAGACATTAAATACAGCCTTTGATACTGAGCATCACTCATACTTTGGCTCTCAGCTGTCCCTCGATCTTTCTTATATTTCTTACCTAAAAAAAGTTCTTTAATATTTACTCTAGACATGTTATGTTGACAACAAGTATTCCACTTCTGCCTTAATTTTTTTCTGTTTTCTTTAACTGCTAAAGACATTTCCCATGTAATGGGACTTTAGCTTGGCAGATATTTTCTTTAGCACATAGGAGACTGTACTCTGCTGCTCTTGCACACCCTTTCTGATGAGAAGCCAGAGATTAGTTTTATTGCTGTTTCTTTGAAGGGGAGGGGTTGTTTAGAATTTTTTTCTCCCTGTCTGTTTTAATATTTTCTTGTTTTGGTTTTCCAAAACCGTTACTGTTTGTACTTATAAGTCATGATTATATGTATCTAACCTGCTTGGATTGCTTGAGTTATTTGAAACTATAGCTTAAGGCCTTCTGTCATCTTTTGGAATATTCACAAGCATTATCTCTTTAAATATTGTTCATACTCATGTTCATATTGTTCATCCCTCTTTCCTTCTAAGACAGTTTTCAGGAATTTCATGTCACTCTGTTTCTACCCTTTCTCTCCATGGATCAGTGTTGATTTTTTTATTTATATTTTATTCTTATTGTCAAGGTGATGTACATAGGGATTACAGTTACTTAAGTAAGGTAGTGAGTACATTTCTTGTCAAACTTGTTACTCCCTCCCTCATTTTTATCCCACTTTCCCTCCCTCCCCAATCCTTCTCCCCCAAATTGTACAAGGCCATACTAATGCTACCAGCACAAGTGTTTATCACAGCATTATTTCCCATAGCTAAGATATGGAATAAACCCAGATGCCCCTCAGTAGGTGAATGGATCAAGAAAATGTAACACACACACACATGAATTCTATGCTTCCATCAGAAAGAATGACACTGCCCCATTTGTTAGGAAATGGAAGAAGTTGGAAAAAATCATATTAAGCAAAGTAAGCCAGACCCAAAGAAACATAGGTCCCATGGCTTCCCTTACTTGTAATAAATAGTACACATCTAGGATAATCTCAGCAGATGAGCAGAATAGCTCAATAGCTATATGCATATGACCATATAAGATGATGCTAAGTGAAATGAACTCCAACACATGGACACTAGAGGTTTTTCATTGTTGTGGTAGTTATTTTTAGTGTTGCATTTTTACTGACCTTTTTTTTAGTTCTCTCTTCTTCTCTACTCCTATTTCTAGTATGTTGTCTAACACTTTGTTCATTTTGTAAACCTCACTTATTCTACCTGGCATGAAGTGAATTTTGTCTCTCTTCCCAGGTTCCTATCACCCTACTCCATTCACAGTGACATGCAAAGATAGGGCTGGTGGATTACAAATGAGTTAAATGAGATCACAATTTCATGTCCTAGTGTCCTTCTCAGGACAGACACCAGACAGCTTGCTCCTTGTGCTATCTCCCATGTTGGACACCATTTTGTTCTTAGACCTCCTAGCTTGAGAGCTGTAAGAAATATGCTCCTTTGATTTGTTCAAGCTACCAGTATATGGAATCTGCATAGAACTGTTGAGCAAATTCAAAATGTGAATATCCTTAAAGTGTTACTGAACTCATAGTAAACTTTGCTATTTGAATTTTTACTACTGAAGCCCTGAATTGCTTACAAGAATACACACATATATATATATATATATACATATATATATATATATACATATGTATGTATATATATGTCATAGATAGGTAGGTAGACAGACAGATAGACAGATAGATAGATAGATAGATAGATAGATAGATAGATAGATAGATAGATAGATAGATAGATAGATAGATAGATAGAATTCAAAATCTGAGAAAATGCTTCATTTAAGAATCATTCCAGCCAGGTGCCTGTGGCTCACACTTGAAATCCTAGCTACTCAGGAG